GCAGCAGTTTTTTTCCCATTTCTTTACGGCGGAGGGAAAAATGTTGTCATGGCAACAATATGAAACATGTCACAAAGCAACAATACAAATGTCATTAACAACAATTAAACATCATCTTTATGTATAGTAATATTAAAAGTACAATTAGTTAATGAGGCATTTTCAAAAATGAAACCGTGCAAAAATGTTCCCGACTCTTGATACGCATTGGTAATTGTTGATGATACTGATGGTCGAGAACAACTTTCAGCGATCATTCCCGATGTTGGCGAATCATGAGGGTTTAAAATTTTTTGAGCATTATCGTTCTTATTTCTTATTGAATCCTCTATATATCCTTCGGCAACCGTGCTTGATTTCCAGCCCCCATGTCGTTTGAGGCATTCTAGATTTCCGCCTCCTTCAATTAATAGTGTTGCTGAAGTTCGTCATAAAGAGTGACCCGTGTATGCGCTTGCATCGTTTAAATTTAAATAAACTAGCTACTTTTTGGGCTACTGCGCTGATCGAATGTATTCCCATGACGCTTCGGTAACACTTTCCATTTTGGTACTTGATAAAAAATCGGTTTTCTGTGAAATTTTCACGCCGCAGTGATACATACTTTTTATAGAGTTTAATGTAGTTTTGACCAATTATCGTAAAAGATCTAATATGTCGTGTTTTACTGTCTGAGATTTTGATAATTATTACATTTTCTTTATCCTCAATGTCCACAGTTTTAATTTTTACCATTTCGTCGCATCAACAGGCGTAGGTAACCCCAATTAACAAAACAATCTGAAATATTTTTATAATTTAGTAGAGTATACTACATGCTTTTCAATATAATTTTTTTTTACCTTTAATCCTAAATACAACTTATCTGGCACTTCAAACAAAATTTATCAAACTCGTCTTTAGTGAAAACTTTTTTGCAGTATATCCTTCGCTTGTTTTTTTCAGAAAGGCACGTAACTTTAAAAATTTGCTTATATCCACATTTTTTCTAATAACTAACTCGAATTTTATCATAGAGTATCGTGACCACATTGTAGAAGATTTCCAGTTATTTTCATTTTCCATTTTATTACAATATGCCAGTAAAACGTCTTCGGTAACTTGCCGTACTCCTCTTGTATCGCACCACTCTTGGAAGTGCTTGTACGCTAACCGATACTTTACTCCGCACTTGGAGGGCCCCAAACGTGCTACTGCATCATTAGCCGCGGACTCAATTTCGTTTAGGTTTTCCATTTTTGCACTAAATTTGCGCTTGCGGTTGCAACAACAATAGGCTGTCTTTAATAATTGCAAACAACTGTCAAACAACTGTAACCAGGGAGACGCAAATCCCACCGACGACTTAATTATTTTAATTTCTTACATCTAGACGATTTTGATAGTTGTCACAGTTAATTTCGAGTAAAAATAGAGTAGGAATAACTGCGCAAGAAGCGTAGTGCAACAGTAATTAAGTATTCCGAAAAGCAAACTCCTAATGCTCGAACTTTTGTAAATGTTTCTCAAAGATTATGAGAAACGAGTTCTGTTGTACCGAAAAAAAAAATAGGGAAAGAACAATATGTAAGGGAGAGTGGGGCTCTCCCTTACATATTGTTCTTTCCCTCTTTAGTATTAAACCTTATACTTAAAACGTAAAAAAAATCAAAACCATATTTTCAAAAACGTCTGAATGTTTCACAGTCAGAAAAATGACAACCTCATATGTTTTAGAAATTATTTATTACAATGTTTAAAACTATCTTATTAATATGAATACATATTGAAGTTTTCCAGTGAAACTTAAAAAGACAATAATGCTTTTTGTCGCTTTGTACCCTGCTCAGAAGGAGTTGGCAAAAGGGCTACAATTTCTGATAAAGAAGCACTAGAGATATCTGATACGATGTGGTAGAAAAATTTATAATTTACTTTAAATGAAATTCTCAAAAATGAAATTTCAATATCCCTACCACCACATTTACCAAAGATTTTCCCAACATAGTACACATCTTTTTCTTTTACAGTCCCAAATTTAACCAGCATAAAATCTTCAATTTTCAATTCACTCCTGCCAAAATTTTGCTGTGGTTCTTCTAATACTTTATTATCAGAGTTTTTGCCATTTTCATCATCAGTTGTCTTTTCATTCTTCTCATTTTCAAAAAATAGTTTTCTTTTCGTAGATTTAGTACGTAGATTTAGCTGTTCCTTCCCTACCGGATCTTGGGCTTCGATTTGCATGATCAGTTTCTTTTTTTATTTTAGTACTCATTGCCATGATGATTGTCCTAGAGATATCCAATGGTATATTTGTTGACCGACGTTGAACAGTTGACCATTTACTTAATTAATTCGCCTTTGGTGCCAATTTCTTAGTGCCAGGATATAATAGTTCCTTTCCACTTACCAACTCATTCGCCCAAAGCCGTAGGTGAGTAAGTGTGGGATTGCTTATACCGGCAATCGCTCGGTGGAATTTTCGCCATATCTGGCTACCCTTACTCAGTTTAGCATGCAGGCCAATGCAGTTGCTGAGGTGTGGCACGTGGAGCCATACGTGAGAGTTAGTTGTCTTATGAGTACTAGTTATCAAGAACCATCTCCCGTCTATAACGCTCGATGTGGTCGTTCCAATAAAAGGTGCTACCTCTATAACACAAGTCTACACCTCTTAATTAATTCAGATAATAGCAAATGCCACATTAATAAAGCAATAAATCATTATTTTAAATGTAGTTTCTAAGATGCTATTAACCTTGAATAGTAAATAACCAAGGATTATGTTAAATACCCTAACCCTAAGTCATAACGAGTTATTCTTCAGAACCGCTTTCACTGAGTACGATGTTGCCTTTTTCTTCTTCATGTGCCTTGTCCGTTAAGAAAGTTGGCAATCAACATGGCTATTCTGACTTTGTTTACGGCTTTGTTCACGTACTTAGTCCAGGATATACGTAATATACGTCGGTAAGCCCACATTTCGAAGGCCTCTACTTTTTTCATCCATGTTGCGGTCATTGTCCACGCCTCCATTCCATATAACAAAACCGGGAATACATAACATTTTAGAAGTCGAATTTTGAGAGGTAAGGTGAGGCATTTAGAGGTGGAAATTTGCTTCATGCTAGTAAACGATGCTCTTGCCTTTTCTACTCTTATACGTATTTTCTTCGCTTGATCCCAATTTAAGTTAACTGTTGTTCCTAAGTAGATGTACGAATCCACGTGTTCAATTCTTTCATTGTCTAATATCAGTTGCTGTGGTGGTAGTTGGGTTTTGCTTACTAACATCCATTTGGTTTTTGTGATATTTAGTCTGAGTCCGTATTGTGCACTTGTTTTTTGTATCTTACTCATTGGGCAACTTATTTCCTCCATGCTACTTGCTAGAATCACAGTGTCATCAGCATACCTTATGTTATTAATTATTTCTCCATTTATCTTTATGTCCTCTGTGCTTTCCTCCAGCGCTGTCTTAAATACTTCTTCTAAGTATATATTAAAGAGAATAGGAGACAAGATACAGCCCTATCGTACCCCTTTCTTGATCTCAATTTTATTGGTCAACGTAGATCCTACTTTCACTTTAGCTGTTTGACCCCAATAGAGACTGGCTATTGTTCGAATGTCTCTGTAGTCGACTCCAATCTTATGTAGAACTTCAATTATCTTTTCGTGCTTTACGTTATCGAATGCTTTTGCGTAGTCTATAAAGCATATGTACACGTCTTTGTTCATATCTCTGCAGCGCTGGATAAGTACCTGTAGACTAAAAAGTGCTTCTCTTGTCCCAAGAGAATTCCGAAACGCAAACTGCAAATCTCCAATGTTATCCTCGCATTTTTTGCTTATTCTGTTGTAAATAACCTTGGCGTATGCCTTCGAAATGTGGTTAATTAGACTTATCATCCGATATTGATCACAAGACTTTGCTTTTGGTTTTTTCGGTATGGCAACAAAAGTTGACCCTAGCGAGTCTTCAGGAAACTCCCTGCTGCTATAAATATTGTTAAAGAGTCTGACGAGTGAGTCTAGAAATTGACAGTTTATTTCGCACAGCATTTTCAATACTTCCCCGTATACGTTATCGTTGCCTGGTCTTTTGTTATTTTTAAGACCCTTTATAGCATTCTCCACTTCTGATTTTAGAATAGAAGGGCCAGTATCATCATTGCTCAGTGTATACCTACTAGGACGGTCATCATTAAACAGTTGTTCCACATAAGTTTCCCAAATTCTAACTGTTTTGTCGGGGTCTAGTTGTAGATTTCCATTCTCATCGCACAGCCCTTTCGATAAAATATTCTAGCTTTTCTTTGTTGTGAGTTCCTTTATCTTCTTATGCATATTGTGATAGTCGTATACCTTTTCGCACTGTTCGATTTCTTCGCATCTCTCCGAGAACCATTTCTCTTTAATTTTTCTTATCTCAGCTCTTATTCGTCTATGGGTTTCACGGTATTTGGCAGTATATTTAGTTTTATATATCCGTCTCTCTTCCATCATGTCAAGGATTTCTACAGTCATCGACGTTGCCAGACTATTTAATTTTCTGAAAATAAAAATTCACGTAGATATATGGAAAATAATGTATTTTTTTTGAAAACGGTTAAATTTAGAAAAAAATGTTTTAGGAACTTATATTTATATATTAGGAAATACATCCATACCAAACCCTGGACATCCTGTATAAAGGAAATTCGGTGAATAGGGAATAGTCCGTGTAATATGGGATAGCGTTTATTTCAATATCCTGCTAGTGCTATTTCGATTACAATTGGTGTATTGAATACACATTTAATTTAACAGTTTAGAATGTATTATAAAAAAAACTATGTTTAGAATCTTTTACTTAATCAGATATCCTCTTTTACTTTTTTTTTGTTGTCGCAAAGAGTTGTTGATTTTAATGAAACGATGTAGATAGTATTATCATTTAGTATAAATTAATACTAAACTACTAAAAAAAATTAATAATAAAAATTTTATTAATTATTTAATATATGTATTTTTAGATCCGCAGGATGAACCTAACACCAATGAAGAATCTGGGGAAGAATATACTTTTTATACTCCGTTTAAATTTGAACCAGATCCTCGGGGTCTTGGAAATTATTTGTTTAATAAAATGAAAAAACATAGACACCACATAGCACAAGTAGGTATACTATAGTATAAGTATGGTACCATAATATTACAATATCAGTTAATGTACTTTGTAGTACACAAATTGGTATTTATGAAATAAAACTTTTATTAATGTCTTTCAAATATTCCTAATCGATTTAATTTTATTTTAACTTTATTATTTTAATATTTGTTTCAGTTGTCAACGGGCACACCCGTTGTATGATAAATTTAGTATTTGAGCTGCCTAGTACCATAATCGCCAAAATGCCATTTTTCCAGTTTTAAGATATGTACTCCCCTGGATTCGTCTCATTAATACCTATCGACTGGTAGTAAGGTTCAATATTAAAATTTTGCCTAACAAACATCACAAAGTTTTACGTTCCGTTTTAAAGTAATCTATGTTTTGATAGATTTTAGTATTAACACAACCAATGTTCAAAAGAACCAATCAGACTTTCTTTAATTCACGTGACTTCAATATCGTAAACAAGAAACATGACCGATTCATTCTAATCATCATCATCATCATCATCATTCCTCAACCTCTTGCATCCACTGTTGGATATAGGTCTCCTCCATGTTCTTCCACTGTTCTCTATCTTGCGCCTTCTGTATCCAATTTCCGACTGTTTTCCTCAAGTCGTCCATCCATTTCTTTGGTGGTCTGCCTCGGTGTCTTTTGTCTTCTCTAGGTCTCTCACTATCCTATTTGGTACCATATCCCTTCTAGTTATTCCCAACATTGCTCTTTCCATTTTTCTTTGAGTTACTCTCAATTTATTTGCAGAATGTTTGGTTAAACTTATTGTTTCGGAACCATATGTTATTTCTGGCAGTATGCATTGGTTGTAAACCTTTTTCTTCAAGCAAATCGGTAGCGTTCCTTTTAGAATATCTCGCATCTTGCCAAATGCTGCCCATCCCAAGCCTATGCGACGCTGAATCTCACAAGTTTGATTGTCTTTTCCATTATAATTTCATGCCCTAAATAGATATAGCTAAAGACCTGATGTACTTCGTTCCCTTCTTCTTCGGGTTCCTTCTCCTAGCGGAGGTTGGAAATCATCATCGCTATTTTAACTTCGTTCCCATCTACCCTCATAACATCACTTGGAACTAAATTGGTCATGTATTTTGTTTTTTCAAAGTTTATGTTCAGGCTTATTTGTTCTATTGCCTGTTTTAGTTATTTAGCTATAATGACAATTTCATCTGCAAAGCGCAAGTGGCTTAAGTATTCACTATCAATATTTATTCCCCTTTTAGCCCAATCTAGTTTTTTATTAAAGGCATATTCCAGAGCTGCAGTGAATAGTTGGGGGGAGATGGTGTCGCCCTGTCTAATTCCTCGCTCAATTCTATATTTATCGGTAAAGTCATGGAGTTTAACAGATGCTGTTGCGTTGTTGTATATATGTTTTATTAAATTTGTATATCTATAGTCTACTCGGCTTTGTTCTAATGCTCCTAATACTGCCGGTAATTCCACGGTATCAAAAGCTTTCTTGAAGTCTATGAAAATCAACGTGAGTGAGAGATGTGACAACAGACTTATCGGTCTATAATTCTCTAGGTCTGATATATTTTCTTTTTTTTTATTAGGATAGTAATTGCATTGTTCCATTTTGTAGGGACAATACCTTGGTTTAGACATAGGTTGAATAGTTCAGTTACTACTTCCAGCAGTTTCTTGCCTCCTACTTTACAGCTTCTATTACTATTTGGTCATCTCCCGGAGCCTTGTTGTTTTTCATTTCCTTTAGAGTTCGTTTCACTTCTATCGTTATGGTAGGCAGAAGTTCGGATCCTTGGTTCATTACTCTGCCTTCTCTAATTTGTGTTTTGTCTTCTTCTGTTAACTGTCTTTTGTATAATTCTTCGTAGAAGCTTTTTGCTATCTCTACTATTCTCTCTCTATTTGTTGTTATATTACCTTCCTTGTCTTTTAGTTTAACAATTTCCTTTTTACCATCACAAAACTTTCTTCTGATTATTTTCATATTTCCATTTTGCTCAATCACATTTTGTATTTTCTCAGTATTATACTTCCTCTGATCTTTACGAATTGCTTTTGAGATATCTCTGTTCAGATTTCTGAGTTCAGCTGAGTCGCCTTTCTGCTCTGATCTCCTGATTTTTCTTTCTTTAATGAGCTTTCTGGTGTTTTCGCTCAGTTTCTCTTCTTTTCCGGCTGGTCTAGCACAGTACTGTTTTTGTGCAGTCATTAACGCTTCTGTAATTGCATTATTTACGGTTTCAACATCTGTCGAAAGAGGGTGGTTTAAGGCCCGATTTATAGCTTTCACATATTCTTTTGTGTTTTCTGGTGTACTCCATTTTTTCAATTCTCTTCTCTTTATTAATCTTGTTCTTTCATTTTTTAAGTTTAACTGTATTGTAGCTCTCACTGCTCGATGATCGCTACCAATGCCAAACTGATTTAATATTGTGACATCTTTGACACATCTTTTGTGTGTTGTTATGAAGAAATCTATTTCATTTTTTTACGTTTCCATTTGGGCTTACCCATGTCCATCGTCTATGTGGCTTCTTTTGGAAAAAGCTATTCATCAAATATAACTGATGGTTATAAAGAAAATTTAATAGTGTCTGGCCTCTCTCATTTCGACTTTCTAAACCGTGTTTTCCTATTGCCGTCTCTGCATCATCAATTTGAGTTCCTACCTTGGCATTGAAATCCCCCATAAGAAAAGTAAAATGACATTTTGTTTTTGATAATGCTGTTGTTAAATCTTCATAGAAGTTTTCGATTTCTTCTTCTTCATGTGCTGATGTTGGAGTATAACATTGTACAACTTTCATTTTGTATCTATTATTCAGTGAAATTATTATGTATATCACTCTCTCTGATATTTGCTTAATATCCAATATATTGTGTACATGTTTTTTATGGATTAGCAGACCAATGCCACCATTTGAGTTTTCCAGGTTGCCATTTGTGTATAGTATGCGACCTGATTTTAAGGTTAGAAGTTGTTCTTCACGCTTCCGTCTAATTTCGCAAAGTCCTATTATGTCCCATTGTATACTACTCAGCTCTACTTTGAGTTCTAGGAGTTTATCGTCTGTTGATAGTGTTCTTACATTGTATGTTAGTAGTTTAAATAGTCTGATGTGTTTTCTATGTGTGTGGAAGTTTTGATACGTCAATTTTCTGTCCCCCCCAGAATCCTTGGGACTGACCAAGTTGTTCTCGGTGCAACCTTCTCAATTTGACTCAAAAAAAATTTATTTCCTATTTTGCAAACTTTTTTGTTGTTTTGTGACTTTATTACCTAATATGAGGTCTTTCAAATCAAATTCCTGACTTTTTTGATAAAAATTAAATGGTTTAATTTTTGATAAAAATTCAATTAAGTTAAAATGTAAAAATTTAAAAATTTAAACTTTTGGTAAAAATTAAAATTAAATAGTTCGTTTGCGTCGTCCTACGTATTCAAACCGGTAAAAATAACCTGTGTACGTATGTTTAGTTGGCAGTATTTTATATATTTTCTAAGGCCGGTATTAGACTAGGTAACTGGTGGCGCAACTGGTGGCGCAACTAGTGGCGCCACCAAATTAACGCAGAAAAAATTATGGGCAACTGGTTGCTGATAATTGCCACCAGCAAAAATTAATACGTCTTGCCCTTTTATTAAAAAACAAAGGGAGAGTAAGAAGGAGTCGGAAAATTTATATACATATAATGTATATGTTATTATACGTTATATACATTACATTATTATGGTTATTATATGTTATTTCCTGAACTTTATGCGGACAAACTAAAATTTTTTCCGTATTTTCAAATGTTAAAATTGTCATTTTTTGAGCTCTTGGAGTACACTAAAGATGACGTATATCATGTTTAATGTACTCCAAGTACATGGAATACAAATATATTCCAATTGACGAAAAAATGGTAGTCGCTTGCAATGTTTTAAAATTTAATGTGCTAGAGTTCCTCAGCTTTCTTTAATTCTGAAAAAACTATGTTTATATTTGAATGTAAAAAATGTAGTTTACTAAAAAATAACTGAAACATGAGTCAACAATATAACAATAGGCAATCCGCTAAAGGCAAATCTGAGGTGACCTAAAATAGGTATTGCTAGTATCAAAAAACGAAACTAAACCGATACTGATCAATAGAATTGGCCAAAGGAAAATAACAGAGTAGGTAATGTAATCGAAAGGTATGTTAAAAGAAGAAAGAGAAGATTAAGGAAACATTTATAGACCAGATCATATATATATATATATATATATATATATATATATATATATATATATCATCATCATCATCATCATTATCAGCGTATTCTACCAATTACGGTGCAGCCTCCCTTACATAGTCGTTCTTTATGTCTGCCCACGACTGTCTAATATTCGCTTTTCTTTGCCATGTTGTACCGGCTTGTTTCCTTATGTCATAGTCCCATCTTAAATTTGGACGTCTTCTTGGTCTCTTGACGCCTCTTGGATACCACAGAGTAATTCTAGTGGACCATCTATTGTCAGTTCTTCTTGCTAAATGTCCCGCCCACTGCCATTTTAAAGATTTTATTCGGTGGATTACATCAGTGACCTTCGTTTTCTGTCTGATCCATTCTATTCTTTTTCGATCTCTCTTGGTTATACCTAACATGCATCGCTCCATTGACCTTTGAGTGACTTTGAGTTTAGCTATTATATCTTTCTTTAGTGTCCAAGTTTCGCAGCCGTATGTCATGACTGGTAGTATACATTGATCGAATGCGTTTTTCTTCAGGTGGAGTGGCATCCTAGATTTGAATATAACTGAATTTTTACCAAAAGCTGCCCAAGCCAGTTTCATTCTTCTGTTGATTTCTGGGAGTAATGAGCCAGATTTATGTATTAATTGTCCCAGGTATATATACTCGTCTACTGTCTCCAGTGCAGTATTATTTATTATTACATCTTGGACATCCACTAGCTCGTTGTACATGGTTTTTGTTTTTGTCAAGTTCATTTTTAGGCCAACTTCATTGCTAGCTGCATTTAGGTCGCTTATAAGTTCTTGTAGTTCTGCAGGATTTTTAGCAATTAGAACGATGTCGTCTGCAAATCTTAGATGGTTGAGGTATATATATATATATATATATATATATATATATATATATATAAAGACAAAACGTTATAACATATACATACATAAATAAACACATTATAGACATAAATAAATAGATAAAAGAAATTTGGAAAGACCCAGAGAAATGGATAAAAGAGAATAGAAACGAAGAACATGTCTCCGATGCCTATAAAGGACATAAAGAGTTTCAAAAAAATTAATAGACTGAAGTGAATGTGGTCAGCTTTTTTTAATCCTAAATTATGACTATATTTATATCAAGAAAAAAAGTTCTTTATAAATTTAAAAATGATCTCTAATAATATATACATACATACATAAAAACTATATTCCAACATAGCTATATTACTTATATTATTATATTTAATTACTATATTAAATGGCAGTAAACGACAATTTTAGTTAAAAATAACTTATATTTTTGATTTCTATTATAAAACTAGTTATCAAAACACAAATTAAAGTACATTATTTTTGATTTCTTGTTTGGATATAGAAAAAATATTATTCGATTATATACAAATGAACTATTGGTGACGCAACTAGTTGCTTTAGTCTAATAGGGTACATATAACATAATGCCCCGGCTCGGTGGCGCCACCAGATCATGTTACCCGTTTGGTTTCTGAAATCGGTCACCAGAACGACAACAATTTTTGGTGGCGCAACCAGTTGCCGTAGTCTAATGGGTCGCATATACTTACATGCCCCGTGACGCGCTGGGTAACTAGTGGAGCAACTTGGTGGCGCCACCAGTTGCCTAGTCTAATAACGGCCTAACAGTTTGTCATTCAGGTACGTCTATAAATAGAAACAAGTTTCTGCAAGCTAGAACTTGTAAAAAATGTGTAGTGTAGCTGGACGATGTCATTTAGAAGGACATGTCACGTAGAAGGAAGTATGGGTGGTAGAGAAGTGGTAAAGATAGTTCAAGCACTCCTCACCATGGAGCTGCGCGAAGGCGGAGTCAAATTCACCTAAAGACAGAAAGGTTCTATTGTAAGTGGAATTATACAGTTCATAGTATAATACGTTTAGCACGGAAGTGGGGACTAAACCAAATTTCGTGTACTGCACCGTGGTCAAGAGTGCTTGCACGCACTATAAGATGGTGGGACACTGATATGCCAAACGCATTCATTTACATTTCAAATTTCATTTTATGTTTGCATGTTGATAATGTCACATCGAATAACATTAACCGAAGATGAGCTTCACGAGCTAGCGAACGTGTCACAGAGTGATGAGTGCATTTAAAAAACAGAAAACAATACAAGTAGTGAGAGTAAGGAACCTAGTAGTGATGATTCTGCTGTTTCATTCTACGTACAACGTCCTGTAGAACATAATGTAACAGTTTCTTCAAAAGACGGTAATATCCAGTGGTCTCTCGATCTTACCTTATCGACCTTATCAACGCGATCATTTTTCTACGGTCAATGTTATAAATATTGCTCTAGGAGTTACAAGTTTGAAAGTTTGAAAGACCACAATATTACTTGCGATAACTTTTTTACATCATAGAATTTAGGACAATTTCTAAAAAGAAAAAATAAAATACTGGGGACTATAAACAAATAAGCCCGAGGTTCCAGCACAAATTGCGAATAAAGAAGTTCGTTTTTCGTCTTTTTACTTCACGGAAGATACCACTGTTGTTATCTATATTTCTAAAAAGAATAAAAATTTTATTCTTATTAGTACTTCATGATAAGGCTATTAGTGACAGAAATGAAAACAACGCCAAATTATTTTAGATTACAATTCTAGTAAGGGAGCAGCGGTTACTCTAGATCTAGATCAATCCCCAATGGAACATCAACAAACTTACAAAACGGCGAATATTTCTTGAGTAAGTGGGAAAAACACTGGCGAAACCACTTATCCTTTCCAGGAAAAACTTACTAAGAACTAAAGACAAAAACTGGTAAAGAGAACACAAACAGAAGCGAGTAGAGAAGATGGAAATTCTAGTGAACCATCTATGGACAATCCAACTCCGCCTGCTAAACGAGCACGATGTAAATTTTGCTCTAAAAACGATAACAAGACTAATATTATATGTTGTATATATCACAAATATATTTGTAAGATCCAAAGAAATCTTTGGATTTCTAGTACTTGAATTCGCCAAGGATTTTTGCTTAGTTGAGGAGAGATGTTGTCAAATGCAATTTTAGATTCCCCATTATCTTTAATTACACCTTTATCAACGTCTGTTTGCCTTGCAATTCTTAGAAAGCACAGGTTTAAGCAAAAATCTAGATTTTGGTTTCGTCAATTGGAAATCTTTGGATTCCTAGTTAGTGATTTAATATCAGATGTCGCTATTGGGACCGTGCAAGTTCGGAACAGCGACACCTGGTGTCGTAAATCAGCCAAATTTACTGCGCTTTCATGTTAGATCGAAGTTACCGGATAACTGTCAAGGACGTGGCCCCAAAAAAGAATAAGAAGAAAAAGTAAGATTGAGGTTATGTCGGTATGTTATTAAAAGGTAAACGTTGATGTAGCGTAAATACAAATAAATATATTATTGAATTACAGCATTACGGTTAATATGGAAGCAATAATAAAAACTGGATTTGAGAAAGTAAATCACCAAATAACTTTTCAACCAAGCACGAGTCAAAGGGAAAAGCTTTAGTAGTGGCAAATGTCAAAAAAGTATCGAAGAATTATGTGGAGTGGAAGAATTAAGAAAAATAAATTACCATAAATAATGCTAATGCATAAATTAGCAGGTTAAGCCCATGATATCATCATATTGGTTTGAACAATTAATTCTTTCCCTGTAAACTTTTGGACAGCGCATATATCTTAATGCATCTTCAGAAAAACTTGAACTTGATGCATTTTTGTAAACTTCAAAAAAATAAAATTCAAACATTAAACTTGATTTTTGGGTTAAAATGAACTCTAAGTGAGTGTTATGAAACTAAAATTTACACTTAAAAGTGAACTTTTATTTATTATTTATTTCAAACTGACTTTAAAATCGGCCGCAAGAATAATGCTTAATTTGGGTTATGTTACTTATGCTTTTTTATTATATAAATCCACTTTTCTCTTTGTAGTAGCTTTGTGCTTCGAAGTTGGAAACGAATAAAACTTAAATTGACAATTTTTTGTTGTATTTTTACAATTTATAACACAGCATTTCCTAAATCCCATTTTCTTCAGTGGCAGAAGGTGTAAATAAACAAAACGAATATGAAATATGACAATTGACAATATGAATTTATGAAATCTATAATCTATGAAATGTACAGTAAAAAATGCAAGATTTCTCCACTACTCGCGCACGATCGTTTCTCGTATCCCCTCCAAGTACTTGCACGTCGCCAATTGCGTCCATACCGAAGGCATTTTATCGTTGCTTTCTTTTCGACAGGAAAATTTCACGTTCAGAGCTTCTGTGAATAGTGGCTCCGAAGATTCCTTTTAGGATGAAATACGTATAAGCGAATATACAGAGGCACTTTACGTGAAATCAAATCTTAACTGTCTTTCCTTTTAAAAGTAGAAACGTTATTTTTTATGAAGCTGACTAGAAAGATGCGTGAAAGATAATATTTTTTATTTGAATAATTAAAGATTCAGTATATTTTTGGATGATATATTATTTCTGCGTACTATAAATGTGACTACAATATTACCTATTTCTTGTTTTAGTATATTGCTGATACCGATGAAGAGCAAACCTACGGTGAACTTTTATTACGTTGTGTACGCACAGCCTGCCATCTCTCAACCAGAAATTTAACGAAGGACGATGTTATTGTGCTTTGTTCTAACAATCATAAAGAAAGTATAGTGCCATTTATCGCTAGCCTATTCTTAAATGTTCCGGTAGCATCTATGGATCCCACATTATCCCTTATGGAATCGGTGTATTTAGTAAAGGACGTAAAACCCAAAATCATTTTCGTAGTCCCTGAAGGTTTGGAACTTATGGAAACTTCAGTTAAACAAGCAGGTAATACGTTATTAGTATTTTAATTGTTATAAAAACATGATCATCCCGTTTTTGAAGGTAATACAGTGTTTTTTATGTCTTGTGCAGCTTTAATCCTTGTCTGAAAATAACTAGTATGTTTGATACGTTTTAATTTAAAATGAGCAGATAGAAAGCAAGTCTGGTGTGAAAAGTTCAACACCATATTTTTCGAGTTAGAGAGGAAGAAGCTTCTTTCTTTGGCCAGCAGACAGTGGCATAGTGAAAGAGAGGCACCAAGAAAGTATGTGGCTTCGACGTAGATGCAAAATGACGCGTCTCTTGTTGAACGTAATAAAAAAATGCAGGTGTGCAGGCTAGAGTGTCTGATGACCTGCAGATGAATGAGAATAATGCTCTTAATTTATTAGCATTACTTTTATAAATTAAAGTTCCTTTCTACTTAGTATAATTGGTATTATTATAGTCATCATTTCTAGAATTCTTATTGCTTTCTAGGCCGTTATCATTAAGTAAAGTGATGCAGATATTAACAGGAATACGATCTCCGTCGAGGTTTTCTAGTTGTTCAATGAATTTTACCGTGATCAGGGGAGCTGTCAAAAAAAAACAAATAATTTTTAATCTTTTCCATACTTACTAATAATTTTCATTTTATACCATTAGCGTATCTTTGGGATTACACCAGGGCAGTCTGCTTTCTCTTGGGCCTAGAGTATACAAGGACGTTAATAGGACCAGTGCTACGCTTTAGCTGCCTGTTATTATGCCTGGTTTTACCAAAGGTACTCACTGTATTTAGACTGAGTCGAACTAGAGCCTGAAGATATTTATAAGTATCTACATGTTTTCGCCGGCGCTGGGGATTGATGTACTGCCTACTGCGTGATAGATAGTATGACAACGTACTGTCTCAACTATCTGGCTTACCATTTGCATATTGTATCACTTGAAAAAAATTTAATTATCAACAATTTCTATGATTAATGGTTGGTTTGGTTTTCCCAAACTAACTCACCAACCCGCCTGGCAAGCGTGGTGTTTAAATGCCAAAACCCCCTCAGCTTGAACAGACATTCAAGAAAACGGCCCTCAGTCCCTGGCAGCTCGCTAGTTCCCGATCAAGGTAGCGGTAGGACTCACGGACAGCGGGTAGAAGGTGCGAAGAATCCCGGGATGTAGGAGGCTACCAAGAATGACGAACGTTGCATATAATTACGTCTTATGTAAATGTAAAGTAAAAAAGAACCTTATTTAAGGATAAAAAAATGACTGAACTGGAGGAAGAACTCAAACATGTGAAATGGGATAATATAGGAATTAGCGAAGTCAAAAGAAGAGGTGAAGATTAGGTCAAACTAAAATCAGGCAACATATTCCACTTTAAAGGGGAAACAAAATCGACAACTGGATGAATAGGTTTATTTGTACACAAAAAATTACAGAATAATATAAAGAGCATTGACTGCATTTCCCCAAGACTTATGTATATAAATCTAAGACTAAATAAGAGATACAATCTGAAAATAATCCAGGTATACGCCCCCACCAGTCATTACGAAGATGAAATTGTTGAAGCCTTCTATGAGGAAATGAAAAGAGCAAAAACGCAGGAACCGGCTCTTTTCAATCGGATAATGGGAGATTTTAACGGGAAACTCGGAAGGAAAAAGGACGAACAAGAAGTGACAATCGGAGATTTTGGAATCGGAGTAAGAAAATAAAGAGGCGAAATGCTTACCAACTTTCTACTGAAACACAAACTATATGCAATGAACACCTTTTTTAAGAAGAAACAGAATAGAAAATGAACGTGGGCTAGTCCAGACGGAGGAACTAATAGCGAATATGATTATAAAATAATAGACAAAAAGGAAATTATTCAAGATGTCACTGTACTCAATAACTATCAGTAGGAAGCGACCACATACCAGTAAGAGCTAGAGTAACGATAAATCTACAAAACGAAAGAGCAAAGATGATAAACAGTTGCAAACCAATAGTTTGGAATTCACCAAATCATCGAGAAGCATACATAAAAATTATAGCCGAAACTTTACAGTGTAATAATCCCAAACCTCTAAGTATTTAATTTTGCAAGAAAAATGACACCAAAAGTGAAAAGATTAGCAAAGATACAAAAGCTCTCATGGAAATACGACGAAACCTAAGCGAGAACGAAAAAGGAAACAAAAAAGAATATAAAAACTAAATAAAAGAATATCAGCGGAAATTACAAAAGATGTAAGAAGATATAATACTAATGTAATTACTCAAACAGTAGAAGAGAACAAAGGTTTAAAGATAATGAAAAGAAAACTCACACAAAGTAAAAAAGAAATACACAAGCTGGGAGATAAAGACGGAGGGGCAACAACAGATAAACAAAACATTCTGAAAATAACCAGAGAATTTTTATAAAGACCTCTATACCAGCTAAAGACCACAAGACAATTTCCCGACACTAGTAAAGACTCTCATAAATCAGGGATCGGAAATACTTTTACCCATTACTTTGTCAGAAGTAAGAGCAGCTTTAAAGGAAATGAAGAACCATCGATCGCCTGGTGATGATGGACTCGTTATGGAGGCAATAAAAGCAGGAGGAGAAATTCTTTTAAAATCAGTAAGCGAACTGTTTAATAAATGCTTACATGTGGGTACGATTCCAAAAGACTGAAACAATGCAGTAATAGTCTTCTTACACAAAAAAGGTGATATTACTACATTAGAAAATTATAGACCCATCAGCCTTTTGACACATATGTACAAACCCTTTATGAAAATCTTAACAAAGAGGCTAACACCTAAACTTGAATTCTATTAGCCCAAAGAACAGGCAGGCTTCAGCGCAGGATATGGCACAAATGAACATTTGCATACCATAAAGATCTTAATAAAAAAGTGCATCGAGTACAACATACCACTGGTTCTTGCATTTGTCGATTACGAGAAGGCTTTTGATTATGTATAGTTTGAAACAATCCTGGAAGCCCTAAATCAAAGCCGAATAGATTACAGGTACACGACACTAATCAAAAACATCTAGAATGAAATTGAACGCTACATCAAGTATATGACTACACGAAGACACAGAAAAATTCAACTTAGGTCGAGGAGTTAGACAAGGAGACAATATTTCACCAAAATTTTTCACGGCAGCTCTAGAGTCAATATTTAAGAACACTCAATTTCAAGATATGGGCATCAATATATATGGAGAAAGATTAAATTACCTAAGTTTTTGCAGATGATGTTGTATTAATCGCAGATAACTTACAGGATACAGTTTCTATGATGCATTCGCTTAAAAGTCTGTCTGAAAGAGCAGGATTAAAGATAAACTTTGAGAAAACTAAACTTATAACAAATCTCGTAATGAGTGGAAATATAACTATTGACAATAATACCATACAACAAACAGACACTTACAAATATCTGGGACACGAGATCAAAATAAGCAGAGACAATCAAACACACGAAATACAGAGGCGAATAGACCTGACATGGGCAGCATTTGGCAAATTAAGCCATATTCCTAAAAGTTCAATTCCCATGTGTCTCAAGCGAAAGGTTTATAACCAATGTGTTTTGCCCTTACAAACTTATGGAACAGAGACTTTAACACTCACGTAAAAATCTGCGAATAAACTCAGAGTTACACAACGAGCTATGGAACGTGCAATGCTGAACGTGAGCCTTCGAGACCACATAACAAACCAACAAATCAGGCAAAGATCAGGAGTTCAAGACGTCATCGAAAGAACCAAGACGCTTAAGTGGAACTGGGCAGGGCACTTAGACAGAACACAAAATGGACGGTGGATAAGACGTATTATGGAATGGAGGCCCAGAAACTATAAAAGAAGCCGAGGACTACTACCGACTAGATGGACCGATGATATAAAACGTATAGCGGGAAACTGGCTACAGTGTAGAGAACACTGGAAAGAACCGAGGGAGGCCTATGTCCAGCAGTGGACGCGATTGGCTGATTGATGATTTTGTATTTTACGTTGGTGTAGTAGAATAATATATGAACTACATACAGGGATATATAGTTAAACATCAACAATTGTAATTTCACGGTCAATACATATGTAGTTTTAATAAATAAATTTCTGTAACAAACACACAAATGTTTCAGGTACTACCCGCATATAAGACAGTGTGTCCTTTTCGACCCGTTAAGCATAAATGGGTTTAAGACTACGCTGTCGGCCATAATTAAAAAAGGTTGATAAATTAAATGAAGTCATTTATGTGTAATGATAGATAGTATTTGATATCTTAAAATTTAGGGTAAAAAACTTAAGCGAGCATTAATTTTGTTAATATTCTTATAGGGCTGGATACAGAAATAGTTGTCTATGGCTCATCTGACACTAACACGGAATTCTCAAGCTTTTTAGAACCTCACGAAAATGAAGAGAAATTTGCTCCAACTGAAGTGGATAGTTTAAAGGACACTGCTGTTATTATGTTTAGCAGTGGCACCACCGGACTTCCGAAAGGAATTATTCTTAATCACTTGGGACTTTTGGGGCAGGCACTATGTCTACCGTAAGTTACAACTTTACAACTGTGTACTTATGCATAAGTAGAAATATAATTTTAATTACTATTAAACTGGGAATAAGTCACAATTAAAGATAAAAATACGATTTCCGCAAATCGCCAGGAAATTTTGACATTCCTGTCAAAATTTCTTGAAGAAAAACTCAGGACTTCCTTACTGTAAGGAAATGTCATTTCCTTACTGTAAGGAAATGATATTTCCGTACAGTTGTTAGTGTTCTACATAAATGATAGAAAACACATTGCTTATAAGGAATTAATTTATATTTTAAAAACATCAAGTCATTGCTGAATACATTTTTAAGATCAATTTGTTATATTTACAGTAATTTGACAGTTAGTACAATTATTGAACATTGGAGGAACACTCTTAGAACTATGAGAAACATTTTGGACAACATGCAGGGTGGAAGTGTCATTTTGTTGAATATTTTGTACTGTGAAAATTTGATTTGCCACCTCAACCTTATTGTTAAGCGATTCTTCGATATATCCTTCAGCAACGTTTGATGACTTCCATCCGCCATGCCTCTTTAAACTAGTTATGTCGGCACCAGAGTCAACCAATATTGTTGCAGAAGACCGACGAAAGCAGTGACCAGTATATTCTGTCGGATTTACCAAGTTCAAATAAGTAGCAATTATTTTGGGCATTTTTCTAAATTGATGAATTCCTACCACTTGTCTACAACCCTTTCCGCTTTGATATTTAAAGAAAAATCGGTCACTGTTCATATTTTCTGGTCTTAACGAAACATACTTTCGATAAACATTCAAGTAGATCTGATTAATTACAAATGATCTTGTTTGTTGGTTTTCGAATCAGGTATGCTGATTAAAAGCTTAGATTCTAAGTCTTCTATATCGTGTACAGTCATTCGGACTAACTCATCCATTCTACAGGCCCCAGAAGTACCAAATATTACAGCCACCTAAAAAATAAATAAAGCTATAATCTAAATAGAAATTAAAAACCTTGTAAATTACCTTAATCATTAAATTTTCTTTATCTGGAGCTTCCTGGATAAATTTTTCAATTTCTTCCTTCGTTAAAATCTTAGATTTCTTTGCCCTATAACCTTGAGCTTGCCGTTTCAATAAAGAACGAAGTTTTGAGGATGTAGATATATCTACATTGTGTTTAAGTGCAAGGGTTGACTTCAGCATTGAATAATTGGCCCATAATGTTGAAGATTTCATCTTTAAACAAAGGTCTAGGAAGTATGCCATTACAACATTTTCTGAGAAAGAACTCGTATTTTTACTCATGCGATAATCCATAAAACGTCTGTATGCATTTTCGTACTTTTCTCTTGATTTCTTTGGCAATAATTCTAATGAAACAGTATTCACTGCCTCAACCAGCTCTGGAGGAGTCCCAGGAATGGAAATTTCATCATCACATTTTACTTTCGAGAACACCAGCAATTAAATTTATAAGCGTTAAGTTTGACAATTCAACCTCAATACGTTTCCATAGTAACCCAAGTAATTTTATTAGGAATTTCAAAGCACCGTTTATTTGGGAATAAAATTATCGCGTTTTTTTAAATCAATCAATATCTGTCGAATTTTAAACGATTTGCGGAAAAATAGTATGTTTACCTCGTAGGAAAAGCCACATTCCTGGACTCTGTGTTGCTAAGTCTAGGCTTGCGCCTCGACTTAGCAATCTTCACAGTCGTCCAGGAATGTTAAGCTTTTCCTACCCGGTAAACAATGTACTATTATTGACGTTTCAATTTCCACTTCGGAAATCGTTCTCAAAATACAAATTTCCGAAGTGGAAATTGAAACGTCAATAAACGTATTTTTATCTTTAATTGTGGCTTATTGCCAGTTTAATAGTAATTAATTTAACATGCCACAAGAAAATAGCTTCAGAACAATAGAAATATAATATTTTTAATCAAAACGATATCGGAGGCTGCTATACCTAACTCTGGTTGACAGATTGATGAATTAAGAGCTATTAAAACGTCTAAAAACGCAACCCGTGAAAATCGTAACAATACGAAAATATGAGTATATTGCCCGTGACATGTGACACACGGAATGATAGGGGTCATTTTATATTATCTTATTATTCAGGAACTAATACATGAAAAGATGGATATCGATGAAAAAGAACATATTGGCTTCTTAATCTACGTGAGTTAGGTCGTCAATAATCAGTCTTCGTCATCATTCTTTAGAGCTGCAGTAAATAAAATTATGGTAGTTAATATAATAGCTAACTCCACCAATATGTACTGTGCTCTAGATAAAAGTCAGCAATTTTCTTATTAGTTTAAAGATTTATAGTTGCTTCTGCTTTTTCGCGTGCTATATCAGAATTATCTGACGTTGGCGATCACCATTGCGAAGGCTTCTCGACCTTCTGCAATATGGAATAATTTTCCCGCATTTGATATCCAAGTCCATTAACGAATGTTCCTCAACCAAGAAACCAGTTTCCTTCCTACACCCATACGGCCCTCTATTTTGCCTTTAAGGATCAGTTGTAATATTTTATATGAACTTCCCCTTACGATATGTCCCAGATAAGACATTTTTCGATGTTTAACAGTGTTTATAGCAGTTCTCTATCTTTGTTGATGCTCCTTAGTACTTCTTCATTAGTTTTCCTTGCTGTCCAAAGTATTTTCAGTATTCGTCTATGAACCCACATTTATAATGCTTTAATTTTGTTCATGATCGATACTTTTAGCGTCCACACTTCTGTACTATAAAAAGTATGGCCCAAATATTGCACTTAACCATTCTTTGTCTCAGTTCTAAACTGAGATGATTATTCCCTTTGAAACAATCCCTTTGATAAAAAAAAAATTTCCACCTTTGAGAAAGTGTCAGTCGTATGGCTAAATCTGCTAATATCGTATTGCATTTTTGCTGGCCAAATCCTTTCGGATTGTTTCGGCGTCAACTGCATTTTGAACTTTGCTTGAAGTTGTACCCTCTAGATGATTAATTGGGGGTTACACAAAGAACGGTACTAAGCTCGGGCTTCAGTCTGGTAGAGGTATCTTGGTCGGGGTTCTTGTTACAGCTCAAATATCACGTATCAATTAAAGAAGTACTTACAACACAAAGACAAGAAGTTAGAAGAGAAGATAAGAGATAAGAGAGAAAAGTTATTTGGGCACCACCCTATTTTTAGAGGAACAGGAAACCTTAAGGCACATAGAAAAGGATGACGAGAAAGGTAAAGTACAGCTAGAGAACTCACGCGAGAATAAAGTAAACCGTGAGAGAAAAGGTATCGGAATTATGCGGTACACTCCCAATATTTCGACACATATACTCAAAATATACGATCAAACAAATAATAACATAATTCAATAAAAAATGCCTGGAAGAGAGACACAAAAATATAAACTCAAATTATATAAAAAAATATAAAAGAAATAAAAAGCAAATAGTTCTTTAACAAAATTATATTTAGGTATATTTGTTAGAGTAAATGTACTATACCAAATTTTATTGAACAGTTAAATGGCATGATTATTGCGCAACTTATTATTAATTACAAACAAAAAATATCTCTTTGAAAAATAGTTATAAATAATTTAGTATCCTCAAGAACTAGAAAAAGGCAAGGAACAATATAATTATATCTACGTTAATATTTGGCAAGCAAGTGAATTTTATGCCTTGAGGATACCTAAACATGAAATTACTAGGTTTTTGATCGTGATCACTTCAAATCTAAGAATAGAATTTATCAGAAATATAATCTACATATAAAATAAATTGTACGTTATTTATACGTATATATTATCCTGTATTTTTATACTCAGTCAAACTAAACCTCCATAAATAAGAAGGTACACTGAACTGGAGTCATATATCAACTTCTAAAGATTTCGTTATCACAGTTTAGTCAATAAAACTTATACTCACAAAACAGGTGTATTCAGAAAATGGTATTACGCCCTCAATAAGGCACTTGACTTCGGTCCGTACAACAGGTAGTTGGGATGACACACCCACAAAGAATTGCGGTCTTCCTAACGTAATCCCTTAGATTGTCTTGGGCCGACGAAAAGAGACAGCTAGACCGGAGAGTAGTAGAATACGGTGAGAGAAGAGTAGTAGAAGAACGGTGTAGAATATGAAACGGTGTAAAATCTGAACGGTGTAGAATCTGAACGGTGTAGAATCTGAACGGTGTAGAATCTGAACGGTGTAGAATCTGAACGGCAAACAGAAGTGACTTCAATTGGAAGACGTCTGTTTGACAAAAGAGAAGATAATTAATATAAGACACACTGTGTAAAGATAAATAAGGGTGAATTGAAAATCCACTTACCGCCGATTGTCGAAGATAAGATCGCTTGCCACAGGAACCAACTTGGAAATGAACATCGAATTGTGAACTTAGAAGGGCTTAGACAAGTGAAGGTTGAAAGTAAAGAGCGAATATTGCTGAAGGATGCCACGCGAAATTGACATTAAATAGCCGGGCTACTGGGGTTCATTTTCATAGCTTTTACCAATGGAAAGTAAACTTTCTACGAAAAACAACTCTTCTGTTTTTCTGAGAAGGCAGCTCGGAGATTTCACAATAAGACCTTTTTCCTTTATTATTAGGAAAGATTTTTATGTACCAAAACAAGATAAAAAGAAGAAGGAGCATTTGCGAAGTTATTTCTTTGTTATAAAAAAGGCGTAACGAATCTCTCGGTAGTGTCGGTTATTTGAGGAAAATATGCAGGCATGGGCGGCGTGAAAATAATTTACTAAAGGGAATAATTTAAAGAAATTATGAACATGCTTCAAAGTAACTAGGGTTAGCGACCGACTCGACGGCCGCTCTGGCCGTAGATTTAAAATTATGCCAAATTTATTCATTTGTGCATGTTTTCTTAGATATTGACAATATCATTAATTTTCGATGAACTGGTTACTTTTTAAAACTGTACATAAAAACAATATAAACATTTTTTACTTTCGTCTTGTAACGTTATTATTTTGCTTACCACAAGGGCACATTAATACAGGGGGTAAAAAATTGGGGGAAGAAACTACTGGGGGTGAAGATAGGGCAAGCAAAATAAACGAAACATATGCGAACAGCACTCAGGGTTTGGTAGAAGAGCTGGAGTCGTGGATAAGTAAAAGATAAGGGGGTTGGAATTGGGCAACTACAAAAAATGAAATAAAGGGGTCATTAATCTCTTGGGATAAACTAAATGAAAATAAACAGGAAACACCTCAAGGAATTTAATATAGGGCGCCACTTGAGGTGCCTAATTATGCCTATTACAACCACTAGTAACTAGGAAAATAATTAGAAAACATCAAAAACATATATTTTTCAAATAAAGCTCAAAAAAGAGTTAGCCCAAAAAAATAAATAAAATGTTAAGAAAACAAAATTTAACATTTATTTTTGTGTCACCACAAATAGTTACAACATGGAGAAATACAAGAATATAAAAAACTTACGTGTGTAATTCGCTTACAAACTCCAGGAGTTGGAGATACTACATAAAACTTTCAAATGTTACCGCATTACAATTTTTAAATGTTACAATTTCTAAATTTTAACGAAAGCAATTATTGTTCTAAAAAAATATCCGTCTCTACTTTGAAATTAAACAAACAATAAACAGTTACCTGGATTCACATATTTCCACTTAACGAAAAGAAAAAAACTTGTTACATCTCTGGATTGGAGCTGCTAGAACGAAACTCTGAAACAAGGGGAAACCAATTCCATACTGGAACGAAAATCTGACGTAGATGGGGTTGGATTAAGCAGGCAAACGACCAAAAAAGCTAGTGGGACATCCTATATATGTCTTTAAAATTGTACCATGCTCTGGTACACCACACAAATTATTTTTTCTACTACCACATATTTCCACTAAAAGAATCAAAACAGAATAACACAAATTCGACAGAGAATTTGTGAATCCATACTTCCGATCCACACAGCGAACCAAGTAAGAATCTATTTGGTCACACCTGACTCCACCGGCAACCCAATTACGAATGACGAATTTAAAAATTCGTTCATATAAGTTGAAAATAAACAAGACGCTATGAAAATTAAAACGTAGATATCTATTTCTATGACGCAACTGATTGATTTGAAAACGCAGTACTTCGGGAACTAACAGCCGTAAAATATAAACAAACTATAAAATGGTTTATATTAACTAGGCCGACCTAATAGCGGCTTTTCACGGTCGGCGATATTGCGGACTTATAGTGGATTCCCACGATCGGCAATTCTACAGATCATCGCGGACAGCCGATCAGCACGGACGGCAACGCACCGCAGACAGAGCTCTTCCTATGGTCCGTGACAGTCTGTGTAGGTCCGTGATAGTAGTGTTTGATTATATCATAAAAAGGCCACTCAGGCTTGTAAACATCATCAGCCCCACTACCAGTTCCTATCGATTCTCTAACTTTTGTTTTTTGCCTTCTGTATGTCGACATTAGACCCCTTGATTGATATGAGACCCTTCCCACGGTACGTGGTACGTGCTGGTCCGCTTAAGTCCGCAATATCGCCGACCGTGGGAAGCTGCTATTAAGCGGACCAGCACGCACCACGCACCGTGGGAAGGGTCTCGTCCGTGGTAGCACAGGCACGTCCGTGCTGGTCCGTCCTATCCATCTAGAGTCGGTAACATCAAAGGTGCGGTACATGCTCGTGCGACGCGATCCTACCGCGTCTGGGTTTTAACAGACGACAAGTGCAAGTCAGAAGTTTTTCATTCGCTGACACGAGTAGTTGTCTGTAGTGTTGTCAAAGTTGTTTTGCAGTTTTTTTGCTGAAAAATGGAATGGACAAACGAAGTTGTTTTTGATTTTTTAAATTTGTATCAAGATGAACGAAGTTTATGGAATTCCACGGCGCCAGAACATAAGAGCCGGAACGATGCATATGATGCATGGAACCGAATAAAAAATCAATTGAAGAATAGTACTATTTCGATTAAAGAATTAAAAAAGAAGAGAAATAATTTAATGTCGACATACAGAAAGCAAAAAACAAAAGTTAGAGAATCGATGGGAACTGGTAGTGGGGCTGATGATGTTTACAAGCCTGAGTGGCTATTTTATGATATATTCAAACACTACTATCACAGACCTACACAGACTGTCACGGACCGTAGGAAGAGCTCTGTCTGCGGTGCGTTGCCGTCCGTACTGATCGGCTGTCCGCGATGATCTGTAGAATCGCCGATCGTGTGAAGCCACTATAAGAAAGAATTGAAAAGATATTTGGGTTTTAATACGTACGAAAGATAAATTAAAATATTCTTCAATTTCTCAAACATATATAAGGAGATTCCAATATATTGTATATACGAGGGGACCACAATATAAAATGCTACAGTCTTAATATCTGAATAATTTAATTTTTTAAGTTTGTAGGTATTAGAAACTATTTTTAATTGTATTTTAAATTAATTGCGATTTCATACTTCCTTAGTGTCTGTGGTGGAATTGGAACTATTTACTTATCTTACTCAACGCTATACTGGATATCGGCAGTAGTATATCAATTGGCAGCTATCATTATCGGTGGAGCAAAAGTTACAGTGCAAAAGATGGATCCACACGAGACGTGGAAACTTATTGACAAATATAAAGTAAGTATGTTATTAGTTAAATTATTAGTAACTTCGTATCTCTTTGGCGATTAGAATAAATTGAGGGTTTTTGTTTTAATAGAATTAGTTATTATTGAGCTGTATAGTTTTCTGGATCATGTTGTAAGTGTCTTAAAGTGTTGAGAATTATTTACTTATATCTTTTTATAACTTTTCTACTTTTCACTCTCAAATTTATTCTGTAATTTGTCCAATATCCCTACGCTATAATTTAATATTCGATAACAGTCGTTTTTTCCAGGGTGCAATTCTGTAATCAGTCTTTACGATAATAGTACTTACTTTACTTTATCGTATCCGGACATGTCATTCATAAAATTTCGGCCCAGTATCGGGTTACGTCGGTTCCATCTTTGTTGGCGAGCAACAAATCTTTAAGGGTACATCGATGAGGACAGTTTCTGCATGTAAGAAGATGTTCCATATTCTGTGTTTCTCCACAGTCACAGTTCACATCATCTTGGTCTATATTTCCCCATTTTGCCATGTTTGATTTTACTGTAGCAACCCCCGTTCTTATCCTATTCAAGGTTTTCCACGTTTTAAAGTCTAGGGTCTGGCCGGTCCATTGAACCTGGGGAAGTGGAAAATAGTCAGGCGGTTCATCCTGCACTGTTCCAAGGAAGCTTTTCCTAGATTTTAGTCGCTTTCGTGGTGTTCGAGCTTTGTATAGGGCATGTCGATCGTCCGCGATCTGTTTAATTTTCTCTATGTGTTCTGCAGCGCCTCTGCTGCAAAACCCGCTGCTCTATATAGATTTGAAAGTGGCGTTGGTTTTATGCACCCCGTTACTATCCTGCATGTCTCATTTAGCGCAGTATCAACTTGTTTGGTGTGGGCAGATCTGCTCCAAACGGGGTACGCATATTCAGCAGTTGAGAAACAGAGTGCCTGTGCCGTTGTTCTTAAAACGCCAGGACGTGCGCCACATTTACTTCCCGTTAGGTTTCTGAGTATGCTGTTCCTAGTTGTTACTTTCCCTCTTGTTTTTATGCAATGTTGTCTGTAGGTGAGGGACCGGACCAGAGTTACTCCAAGATATATAGGTTGGTTTGTGTGTTCTAATGCATTACCGTTCCACACAATTTGGAGTTTTCGCTTGGCTTCCTTTGCGCGAAGGTGGAAAGCGCAGACTTGGGTTTTAGAGAGATTGGGTCTCAGAGAATTCTGCAGGTAATACGCTGTCATTGTTTTTAAGGCTGTTTCGAGTTTCTCCTTTACTTCTTCAAAACTATCTCCTTGAGCACATATTGCAAGATCGTCAGCATAGAGGAAGTGCTTGGTTTCGGTCGGAGTAGGTTGGTCGTTTGTGTATATATTGAAGAGCATTGGTGCTAAAACACTTCCCTGTGGGAGGCCGTTTTTTTTAACTTTCCATCTACTTACTTTACCCTCCAGCATAACGAAGAAATGTCTATTTTGCAGTAAGGAATATACGACCTTTCCCAGATGATGGTCATTGAGAGTGTCGTATAATTTGCGGAGCAATGTTTTGTGCCTTACTGTGTCATAGGCTGCTGTCAGATCTACAAAAGCAGCCCCTGTTATAAGTTTTTCTTTAAAGCCCTCTTCAATGTGTTCTGTTAATGCGAGGACTTGACCGGTGCAAGATTTGCCAGGTCTGAATCCTCCTTGTTGTGGGATGAGGTGCTTGTCGACTTTTTTTTCTATTCTGGCGAGTATAAGTCTCTCGTATAGTTTAAAAAAGTGACACAATAGCGAAATAGGTCTGTAGCTACTGGGGTCTTCTGGATCCTTTCCTGGTTTTAACAAGGCTATTACTTTAGATTTCCTCCATGATTTTGGAATTTTGCAGGTTTTACAGCACGTGTTATAAAATTGCAAGATCCAGTTTTTTGCTCCTTGGCCTAAATGCTTTATTTGTTCACTGCATATATCATCCATACCTGCAGCTTTCCCGTTTTTTAACTTGTTCAGACCGTCGTGGAGTTCTTTTAGTGTAAAAGGAGTATCTAGGTGGTTTGTCTCCGAATCCAATCTTCTCCTAGTGTTTGGGCCTTTATATCGGTTAGTAGTTCTTCCATTCGTAAGAAGTTGAGTAGCGACTTGGTTTGCTGTAACCTTGCAAGGTGGTTTATGTTCTTTTGGATCATCGCTGAGTTTTTTTACAAGGTTCCATGCTATTCTGCTACTATGTGTCATGTCCATTTTTTCCAGGTCTCAATCCACTTTTCCTGTCTGGCTTGACTTAGCTGTTGGAGTAGTACTGCTCCGCAGTCAACGGTTTCTTGGCTAAAAGGGTCAGTGGAATAAAGGTTTTCGTATGTTTTCATTAGTTCTTTGGACTCGCTGGACATCCTGGGAACATATTGTTGTCTACATCCTCTAGGGATAGTTTTTCTAGACACATTTTTGAGTACCTCTACGAATTTTTCGTAGTTCTCTACTTTTGGTTCAAGGCGTAGTAGTTCAAAATCTAGCATGTCTGCATGTAAACAAAATTTAACATTTATTGTGTCTTACCACAAACAGTTACAAAACAGAGAACATAAGAATGCTCAAAAAAGACAATACAAAAATATTACCACCATAGTCGCAAAATACAAAACTTATATGCGTTCTACTAATTTACAAATTCAGAAGATGCTACAAAAACTTACTAATGTTACTGACGTATAAACTGTGGCAAATATAAAAATTATTACAAATAAAAAAATTACCTTTTAAACAATGAAAGCAATTATTACTTTAGCAAAAAATGTCTGTCTTTACTTTAAAATTTAAAACATTAAATGTTACCTTGATTTTTCACTAGCAATTTTGCACTCAAACTTTGAAACCTGTTACATCTCTGGGACTGAAACTGCAAAGACGAAACTCTGGAACAAAAGGAAACCATTTCCATACTCAGGAACGAAGATCTGAGGTAGATGGAATTGGATCAAACAGGAAAATGACAACAAAGTTGATGGGACATCCTATATTTGGCTTCAAAATTATACCATGTTCTGCTATACTACACAAATTATTTTTTACTGCTACATATTTCCACTAAAGGGGCCAAAACAGAAGAACACAAATTCGACGGAGAATTTTCGGATCCATACTTGCGATCCACACAGCAAACCAAGTAAGAATTAATCTACCTTACCCTACGGCGACCCAAGTAAGAATTTAGATCCATACCTGAGACTACGACGACCAAGTAAGAATTTATTTGGATTCACACCTGATTCTACCAGCGACCCAAGTAAGAATTTATTTGGATTCACACCTGATTCTACCAGCGACCCAAGTAAGAATTTATTTGGATTCACACCTGATTCTACCAGCGACCCAAGTAAGAATTTATTTGGATTTACACCTGATTCTACCGGCGACCAAAGTAAGAATGACGAACTTAAAAATTCGTTCATATAACTTGAAAACAAACAAACGCTAACATAACCAAACACAACGAAACAACGTAGATATCCTATTTCTATGACGCAAATTATAAGGCGACTTCAAATAAAATATTAAAAGAAAATGCCGAGAAAGTACTCTTTTTAAAATAATAAACAACTCTCAAATGGTTTTATTACTTGGCGACGCTGAAAAGTACGAAATATTATTTGGGTTTTAAATTGAAAGAATTCGGCATTTTAGCCAAATAGATCAAAAAATATTCTGCTATTTTTCAAACATTTATGAGGGGATTTCAATACATTACATATACGAGGGGATTTTAAAGGCTACAAACTCGCGCTTTTTATAAGGGTGCGATATAAGAACAAATTCACGAGATAAAAAACAATTATTTAGATCGTTTTTCGAACAAAATCGTTTAGATTTGATTTAATTTGCCCATTAAGTAGAAATCTCACATAAGCAATATGACAACTAAACAAAACAATAAATCTGACGAACACATTTTCTTTATAGGTGACTACTTTATTTGGTGCTCCATCGCTAGCTGCAGCTCTATTAAAAGTTGGTCGCCCAGAAGGTTTGGATACCAGCAATTTATGGAGTTTTATCATTGGTGGTGGATATATTCCAAAACCACTACTTCTAGAGCTCCGCGATCTGCTTCCAGGTACTTTTGTGTATAATGCATACGGGCAGACGGAAGTGAGTGGAGTATTGACAACTTTCAAGACTGCAAATGTTAAAGATACGTTGTATTTACATTCGAAACCAACATCTGTTGGATTGATTATACCAGGATTAAAAGCAAAGGTGAGTTCACTGGGACAAGCTTTTCAGTTTCCTTTTATTATAATTTAAAGTTTGCTACAGTTTTTTAGTAGTTTTTCTAGGAATTGGTTTCAAAGAATCTTATATTTCTTCTTTTTTTTTTTGTTTTTTGAAAGTTTCAATTATTTTCCTTTTTCCATTTCAATAAATTGCTCTTTTATATGCTAAGTTTGTTATTTATCTATTACAGTACAGTCATTTTAGATCAATCAAGTTAGTAAAAAGTAAAATTTTTTGTCACAACTGTGTATATAAGTTTGACATTTCAAATGTATAGTATGAGATATTACAAAAAGACTCTCATCTAGAGATTCTACAACTTTTTAGTAGAAATATTTTTAAATAAACAATCAAAACACCAAACTTTTACCTACAATGTAGGTAAAATTTTATGGTCGGTATGGACCTTACGTGAGATGGAATGAGAAACAGCTGTTTAAAAAGAGAGAGGTATATTAGGTCCGCCCTTTATATTGTCGAAAATGCATTAGTGGAAATAATAAAAGGGGGGAAATTCAACGTTGCCAAACTTATTGATTTTATTTGACCTGTTTTTAGCATTTGAACAATGTTTCGTATTTTAAGTACATCAAAACATCAAAATAAGCTTATTTTTAAGTCACATTGTAGCTTATTTCCAATAAAAATAAGAAACTGCATTATGACGCCACAATAAAAAAGCTTCATACAAAATGATTTGGCAACGTCGCGTCGTCAAAGTAACGACACTTTGATTTTAATACTGTGGTAACGAGTGAATCAAGAACAGAACTAGTATTGCATGGCTTAGTGAGTTAGTCTTTCATAAAGCATAATAAATAAAGGCAGTTCTAGTAAAGCATTAAAATGGAATAGGTGTATTATATTAAATTTAAATTGGACGAAAAATTATGTCTTTTAATTAAAAATAAGATATTATTTGGTATTTTCCAAATAATATCTTTGAAACCATGATTATTTAATTGAGAATGAATTCTGTCTCTGGCTTCTATATACCATGTAGCTTCGCCATCCTTCAAAAATTTTAAAGTGTTGGTTTGTCTTTGTGTAGTGTATTGTTATGTCCCATTTTACATTTATGCCATTCTGCTCTTGTCGGATAGGCCAAAACTGACGAAATGCCCCTGAGGATGATCTAGTGATCGAAAGTACTTGGGCAAGATTTAATTAATATTGTGTTCGATCTTTGCCTTGTATACCATCAAAGTTCATTTATTCGAGCATTCAACCATATATTGAAATAAAAATTAGTTCTCTGAAAGCGACAAAACAAATTTTAAAAATAATTCCAACACTACTGTTTAACCCATTAACCGCCAATGTATGAAATATGTAAATTTTTTATAAAAATAATATACGGGTTAGTTATTTATGGTGTTTTAAAGACAAAACTGGATATAATTTTTTTTTAGGTTACAGGGTGTTCTAAAAAAATAATGTTGCGTTTTCGCATCAATGGCGAAATCTGTTAAGAAATTAATGAAATACACTTTTATGGATTATGAGATTTATTTCACAATTAAAGATACAAAAGTAGTAAAACTAAATAAAATATTTGTAAAAAAACTATAAAACCTAATATTACAATTTATGGAAACTGTCAAAACATGTAGAGTGTAAATGTACATTGCACTTCTGATACATATATAGTTTGGCTTTTACATTGTCTGCATCTTTTTCTTGACTTTTCAGGGTGGCGTATTACGATGTGGTTCACTTTGTCAGTTCTCATTTCTTTCGGTATTTCTGACTTTGTTGGCCTTCCTCGTCCTTTGTATTTAGGAGCTGATGTACCCTCATCGTCGCTGGCTGATAAAGATTTACTTTCTTCTGATTTTATTAGCGCCATAACAATATAAGAGCGAAACTCTAATTGCGATATTGTAGAGTCATTTGCCAATTTATAAATTTTCCGTGCATTGACGATTGTACTGTCTATAGTATTTATAAAAAGAGGCCACCACCATTTCTTTCCTCTTATTCTTATACGATAATTGGCTATGCGGTTATCGTGTAAATCAACAGCCCCCATATTTTTGTTGTATTGTTTTATTAGAAATGGCTGGTCTACACTTACTTCTTTTCGTTGTTTTTTATCATACCGTTTTACTTGCTGAATTGGATTGAATTATCATTCTATTTAACTACACAAATTTTGGATTTTAAATCATATCTAAAATCGAAAGCACCTCTGCCCCCTTTTTTTAAATCATTTGAGCTATCTAAAGGACACTTTTGGATTCTGTTTTCCCGCACAGTTCCTGTGGCGTATATATTATTTTCAGTAAGATATTGAAATAGTTTAAAAGACGAAAAAAAAATTGTCAAAAAATATTCTGTGTTGAGAAGGAAATTCAAGAACTTTTAATAGATCTATAACAACATCTGCTCCCAGTCCCATATCACTTTTGTGTTCTCGTGCTCCAGCGTATGGACTAAACTGAAACAAATATCCATCTTGAGAACAAAGACACCAAATTTTAAAACCGAAGCGAACAGGCTTCCCTTTGATGAACATTTTAGCGGAGTGTCTACCAAAATAAGGAACCATTTCCTCATCGACTGATAAATTTTGTGAAAATACAGCAAACTGCAGATTTCTTTTGTTTATTTTGTCAAATGATGGGCGCAATTTAGCAAACTTATCTTGCTTGTCAAGTTGAGTATCATCACATACATGTATATATTTTTTTATATTGCGAAACTTATTTCGACTCATGCAATTTTTAATTAATGGTACTCCCTTGTCCTCATCTCTGCTCCAATACATCTCCATTTGTGGCAACGTGTGATATCCTGACAAGATCAAAATAGCAATAAATTTCTTTAAATCAGATACTGTCATTGAAAAATCATGTCGATTGTTGTCCTTGGCATATTTTAAAGTGTATTTTAAAATCATGTTTAATAATTCCTCGTCAAAAAAATTATAAAATACTTCAACTGGTTATTTACCGTAAAGCATGTCCTTTATACGTTGTTTTTAAATGTGCTCCTGTGATTCCGGAAAATTACTGTATACGGGGTCCCTTTTGCTTCAGTTTGGATTATATTGAACAGATTTTGCCCTCTTTGAAGTAGCCTGGCTTGTAGAAGGTTCATTATAATTATCTTCAAATTCATTTGTGTTGTCCTCAGTCATCAATTCGAATATCCCAGCAGTGTCTTGAGGCTTATCATGGCCTATAAGTAATTAAAAAATAAAAGTTACATAACAGTATCTTATATAATTATACCGTATAATACCTTCCAATAAATCGTCATCTATTTCTCTTCATCGTAAGCTCATCGACATCTGGTGGTATTATAACAGCATCAATTTCGGTCTCATTTTGTATTTCTTCAATAGCAGCTTCCAATTCTTGAATAGTAAGAGTCTATTCCGATCATAATTATCTTTCCATTTATTTTTGCCATAACTCATTATATATGTTTTATCCGCAACAATACAGAGAAACACAATTATTGCTGTATATGCTTATACTAAAACGCTCTAGACAAGACTGAACTAGTCAAATCAAACGGTTACACTCGATTTGTCACGTAGCGTAGGCGGTATTACCTAGAGACAGCACATTCCGCCGTTGATGCGAAAACGCAACAATAAGTTTGAATGCATGTAACTTTTTCTTGATAAAATTATCTAATTTTTTTGTATGGTTATTGCTAAATCTGTAGTTTATGCTTTATAAAAATCATATAAACCATTATATTATAAGCAAAGTGAAAATTCTACAAGAAGATTATATAGTCATGACGAATCATGTAAAAAACTGCTGAAGAAATTAATTTATAATAGATAAACAATTAATTATATTTGTTCTATAAAATATATTTCAATATCATCAAGCCTTTAGGAATTAAAACATATAAAGAATTTTCTAAAAACAAAATATTTAGTTGTATAAAAAAAATTCCTTTTAAAATGTTGCGTTTTCGCATCAACGGCGCTTAATGAGTTAAATTAAAAATAATTCCAAACAATTGGAAATATCTAAATAGACAAGTTCTTAAGTTATGCACAAAATAATGAGTTTGGCGTTTTGATTGTTTATTTAAAAAATAGTTTCACTAAAAAGTCTGTAAGTTGTGACGTGTAAAAAACTAACTTAATTGGCGTATGTTAACTTCTTTGTCTTCACGGATGATTAAGTACTTTGTTTTATTCATCTGGTTGGCTAAATTTTTTTACGAATACCGAAGTACCTTTGCAGATAAATTAGTCTAGGCGGGATCTGTTTTGGATTGGAAATTATCCATAGGAAGCTATTTTTTGCTGGAATCCCTTCAGGATACGTCCAGTATCGATAATCACGATATGCGCCAGTCGCAAACCCTGTGCTAAATTTTTTATTTAACAAAATCTGAAAACAATTGAAAATTTCTCATTTTTTTGCTCTTATTTTCATTTATAATTCGGAAAATAGTGATCCTAGAGAAAAAATAATAAGAAGTTAAAAGTTTCGTTATTCAATCTTACACAATATTTTGTTAGCAAGAAATTGAAAATTTAATGGTTATTGTTGAAAAAATAGCACTAATTGGAAAAAAAAGTACAAAAAAATGAAGTTAATCCTTTAAATGTTTTCGACCCTCCAAACTTGATTTACAAGTTCCATATTTTGCCTAGAAAAACTTTTTAATATGTTTAAAACGTGTGCTAAATTTTGTTAAGATCGGTCGGATAGGTTTTGCATAATAATTTTGCAATCCAGCCTACTGGAACAAAATTGCAAATTTTCAAATTCATAGTAGGCCCTAGATAAGGCCCTCAGATAGTTGTAATTTTTTTTACATATAAAGAAAGTCTCAAACTTTCAAACGCTTTTTGTAAAATTCAAATCGGTTTACTAGGAGAGCCTAAAAATTTTTTTAAAGTTATAAACAATTTTTAGGCTTATAAACAAATTAAATAACTTTACGAGCTTTAAACATATCAATTTCAAAATGATATGTTTAAGGATATCACTTAAAGAACATTAAAAGACTTCTTCTAAAAACCAAAAAGATACATTCGGCTTACTGGTTGTCGAGATATTGAAGGTCAAAGTTGGCATACATTTGCCATGTAACCATAAGTGATAGAGGGCTAGTTTGTAAACAAATACCCTCGTCTTGCCAAATACTTTTTATATGAAAAGTTTTACGTAATGCCCTTTATGGCAACATCCATAAAAAAGACAAATAAAAAACCGTTTTCGCGTAAAATGTCGCTAGGAATGCATGAGAGGTGGTGGCGAGAGACATTCGCTTCAAATGTGAATCGGCGAGTATCAAGTAGGGGACCATCAGTTTGTTTAATTTCGGGTTTTGAAATAAAAACAAAAGTAAAATGCTCCAAAATCTGTAAGGGCTTGTATTGAAGGCCTGTATTAACGGCTTGTATTGTATGTTATACAAGTAATTGATTTTTTTCTTCACGTTTTTTTAAGCTTGCAATTTATACATTGAAGTAAATTGTTACTTTTAGTAGTAACAAATATGTATTTATAAATTGTTAATAAATAATTTGAATTGTTAAAACGAAGAAAAAATTTTTTTGTAAAAATCAAACATTTTAAAATAATTAACATTAAAAATAATTTATTTCTGCAGTTTTATCATAATAATGACATTATTTGATTTGAGAATATATTTTGATTCGAAAGTGACGTGTATATTGTATATTGACTTGTTATTATACTGCTGTGTAATGCTCGAAACTGTTTTTTTTTTTTGAGTTTGCAATTTATACATTGAAGTAAATTGTTACTTTTAGTAAACAAATATGTATTTATAAATTGTTAGTAAATAATTTAAATTGTTAAAACAAAGGCGAATGAAAAAAAATTCTTTTCATAAATAAAATTTATTTTGACTCAATCTTCAATAATTTTTTTAAGTCTTTTTCTTTTTTTGGAAGAACAAGAATCTTCAGGTCTTATTTCTTCCTCAAAACCTTCATTTTCCATTTCAATATCTTCATCCTCGATCTGTAAATTTAACGTTTCTTCTTCTTCATTTGTAGCTTTATGTTGTGCCTCCAAAAAATCTAAGGAATCCATCGACTCCATATCCATATCTCGTTCAACTTCTTCCAATATTTTACTGTGATCAATATTTTTACATATTTAACCATTGCAGTGAAGACAATAGTCAGAACATTTGAGACCATGTTTGATACAACTGCATGGTTTTCTGAATAATGAGTCAGGTAATACTTGCTCAGTTTGTATTGGCTCAATACCATTTTGTGTTAGTTCCCACCCCTACTCAGTAGCATTTAGGTTATTTCCAAGCCACTGCTGTACTTGGAAATATACACAAAGCGAGTGTTGCTCAGCTGCAGATTGTGTAGGTGGCAGCATGGACAATTGAAAATTTTTATTTTTGCAACCTTTTTTAAAGGACAAGTAGCGAATTTTATTCAATGTAAAATCACAGTTTGAGTGGCCCTATACAATGCCGATATAATTTTGCATCCGCTGCTTTTAATTTCTTCCTTAGTGGCACTTTTTTCGTTAAAAATGGTTGCTTCTTGTCATATATCATTATTTGTTGAAACCAATTTAACAATTTTGCTTTTTCCTTGATAAAAAAATGCAGAGGTTGTATCACAACCAGAAAATGCGTGTAAAAAGCCCACTAAATTTTTTAACGAAGATTTCGTAGATTCACTTATTTTAAGTGCATTATTGAAAGAGTTGTAGTAATAAATTTCTTCCGATTTTTTTCCTTTGCTAGGTTTCCAGAAAAAAATATTTTTATTTTCATTTTATTAGTTTTTGAAATACAAAATATTTTACTGTTAAAACACACGGATTTGACAATATAACTACTATATAATAGCGTTGAACATATGATCAAACCACTGAAAAACGTGTACAGCACGCCTTCAATACAAGCCCTTACAGATTTTGGAGCACTTTACTATTTGTTTTTATTTCAAAACCCGAAATTAAACAAACTGATAATCCCCTACTTGATACTCGCCGATTCACATTTGAAGCGAATGTCTCTCGCCACCACCTCTCATGCATTCCTAGCGACATTTTACGCGAAAACGGTTTTTTATTTGTCTTTTTTATGGATGTTGCCATAAAGGGCATTACGTAAAACTTTTCATATAAAAAGTATTTGGCAAGACGAGGGTATTTGTTTAAAAACGAGCCCTATCACTTATGGTTACATGGCAAATGTATGCCAACTTTGACCTTCAATATCTCGGCAACCAGTAAGCCGAATGTATCTTTTTGTTTTTTAGAAGAAGCGTCTTTTAATGTTCTTTAAGTGTATACATTTTGAAATTGATATGTTTAAAGCTTGTAAAGTCATTTAGTTTGTTTATAAGCCTAAAAATTGTTTATAACTTTAAAAAAAATTTTAGGCTCTCCTAGTGAACCGATTTGAATTTTACAAAAAGCGTTTGAAAGATTAAGACTTTCTTTATATGTAAAAAAAATTGCAACTATCTGAGGGCCTTATTTAGGGCCTACTATGAATTTGAAAATTTGCGATTTTTTTCCAGTAGGCTGGATTGCAAAATTATTATGCAAAACCGATCTTAACAAAATTTAGCACACGTTTTAAACATATTTAAAAGTTTTTCTAGGCAAAATATGGAACTTGTAAATCAAGTTTAGAAAGTCGAAAACATTTAAAGGATTAACTTCATTTTTTTGTACTTTTTTTTTAATTATTGCTATTTTTTCAACAATAACCATTAAATTTTCAATTTTTTGCTAACAAAATATTGTGTAAGATTGAATAACGAAACTTTCAACTTCTTACTATTTTTTCTCTAGGATCACTATTTTCCGAATTATAAATGAAAATAAGAGCAAAAAAATGAGACATTTTCAATTGTTTTCAGATTTTGTTAAATAAAAAATTTAGCACAGGGTTTGCGACTGGTGCATATCGTGATTATCGATACTGGACGTATCCTGAAGGGATTCCAGCAAAAAAATAGCTTCCTATGGAAAATTTCCATTATGGTCTGAATTTCTACAGATGCCGCCTAGTCTATACAGTGTTTATTAGATATACCAGAAGGATGTTTACAATGTGTTTGTTCACATACCAAATGTATATGAGTCAGAATTCTATTGTTTGACCCAAAATGGCATATTTATGTCTTTCAGATACTTGATAACAATTTAACCAATCCTTTTATGTATTTGTTTTTGTTTTTAGGTCGTTGATCTCTATACAGGAAAAAATTGCGGACCAAATGAAGAAGGCGAGCTCAGAATTAAATCAGAGTTTCTAATGAGTGGATATCTCAATCAGGATACTTCAGATTCTTTCGATAGTGAGGGTTGGATGAAAACTGGTGATATCGTTACCTATGACGAGGATGGATGTTTTTATATTAAAGACAGAATAAAAGAAATGATAAAGTACAAAGGATGGCACATTGCACCTGCTATGCTAGAACAAGTACGTATTTAATATATTAAGGGGTTTGTTTTTTTTTAGTACAGACAAAATTTAGATAAATATTCATTCCCGCTATCAACTAAGTGCTTTGCTTTCTGGAGTGGGCTTCTCCTACACGTGTTTGTTTTTTGTTAATGTTATTTTTTTTTGCTGACTTGCGCCGCTTTTTAAGTCTTTTTATAATTTTTTTGATGGTCGAGGCCGTTTTTGTTTGTTTTATATTTTTTAGAAAACTTCGTTATATGCTCGACATTGACCAATTTTTTTACGAATAGCACAGAAACTTTACAGACAAATATATATAATATTGGACATACCAGAAAAAAAATTATTATTATTTTTTAACAGTATTCATTTAACCACGTATCATAAAGGTTGTGTGTTTCCGTGTTTGCTAATTATCATTTGATAATTAAGTCGAAAATAGTTAAGTGACAAAAACTGGTAAGATAATCCAAATTACTTTTGAATTGTTTATAGTCCGGGCGCTTGGTTAGAAATAATGAAGGGCACCTAGTGACTGCCAGGATTGTTGGTTCTCGTTAAAATGATCCAACAAAATGCGGGTCCGCAAACACCTAACGAGGTACTGTTAATACAACAAAATAGTGCACTCTTTCAGGAAAATTATGCAAGGTCCCAGAATGAACAGATGCTGTACACGGTATGGAAACAGACGGAAATGGAAAAGATTTACGCTACGGATAGGATAAATCAGCTCCAACTCCAGTTAGATACCTTACAAAAATTAAATGAAAGCTTGCAATTAAAATTTGCAGATCTAGAGAAAAACTTGTCCAAAGAGAAAGAACCTAAGAATGAGGAGTTTCATACTGACGATGAGGAATTAGCTAAGGAGACAGAGTGGATACGTGTCAAAAACTTCAAAAAACGTAAAATGGATACATCATTGACCCCACCACAAAAAGAGTCATATATCCAACAAAGAGAAGAAAAAACCAGAAAAACACAAATCCCACCTCCAATAATTGTGGAGAGTATTGCCGAATTTAGCCAATTTCATGAATTAGTCAGACTACATACTGCTAAATTCCAGATAAAAGTACTTAGAGACAAGAGCGCTAAAATTAATGTCGATAGTGAAGAAGACTTTAGAAAATTAACGAAAAAGTTGACTGAAGTAAATTATCCATGGCATACATATGAAAATAAGCAAAGCCGACCCATTAAAGTTATGGTCAATAAGTTACATCATTCAGCCAGTAAGGATTCGATCATGAACGATTTAAGTAATAAAGGATTCAAGATAATAGATGTCATACCAAAATTAAAATACAAAACAAAGCAACCACTAAATATGTTTATGCTGGTATTCAGAAATGACGAAAATATCAATAGAATCTATGAAATCTCAGATATCATGAACGTAAAAGTACAAATACTTCCGCTCAGAAAATCAAAATTGGTACCTCAATGTAAGAGATGTCAGGCATATGGACACACACAAGGTTACTGTTCGAATGAACCGAGATGTGTCCGCTGCACAGGAAAACACCTAACAGCCAAATGTGAGAAACCCAAGGACGCAAAACCTAAATGTGTCCACTGTGGAGAAGGGCATCCGGTTAACTATAGAGGATGTATCGTGGCAAAAGAAATACAAAAAATAAAAGATAAACATAACAAGAAACAGACCTTACCCAGACAACCTCAAAAAATGCATCCAAAACCTGTAGAAAATCCAAAACAAGAAGAAAACAAAACAAGAACTTATAGTATGGTAGCAGCTGGTAAAAGTAACGAAGAAAACTATAGTAGTCAAAAAGATCTGAAAATAGAACAAACACTACAAAAAATATTAGAGAGATTAACTAACATAGACGAGCGTATAACCAGAATAGAATATAGCACCAAAGGAGCTATACCTAAAAGACTTGGTAATGGCGGGTAATTTACGAATACTAGAATGGAATGCAAATGGGATCTTGAAACATCAGCAAGAACTACAAGCGATACTAGATATAGAAAAAATAGACATATGTCTCATTTCTGAAACCCATTTTACGAATGAGTCATATATTAGATTTAGGGGTTACAAAACTTATCATACTACTCACCCTGATAATGCAGCCAAAGGAGGTAGTGCAGTAATAATCAAGGAAAATATTATGCACTATCAGGAAATTGGGTACAGAACAAAAGAATTTCAGGCCACATCAGTAAAAACTAAATGTAAAAATTATGAGGTAATCGTCACAGCAGTTTACAGTCCGCCAAGACATACCATCAAGAAAAATCAATACGTAGATTTCCTGACCAGTCAAGGACATAAATTTATCCTTGGAGGAGACTTCAATGCAAAACATACGCATTGGAGGTCACGACTGACTACAACCAAAGGGAAAGAACTTTTAGAAGCCATGAAATACATAAAATGCGACGCAGTATCAACATACTGGCCTACTGACACAAATAAAATTCCAGACCTTATCGACTTCTTTGTAGTTAGAAATATTTCTACAAATTACATAGAGATAGAAGAGTCATTGGATATGACCTCGGACCATTCTCCAATTATTCTCACACTCAGTGACACTGTTATCAAAAACGAAAGCCCCCCTAGACTTGTTAACAAAAATACTGATTGGAAAAGTTTCCAGATAGACCTTGAAGAGAAGATTAACCTCTCAGTGCCATTAAGAACCATTGATCAACTAGAAGCAGAAGTAGAATTACTCAATAAAAATATACAACAAGCTGCTTGGAACAACAGCACGAACAGTGTCGAAAGAATAAAAGGTAATAACTACCCGAAAGAAATCAGAGAAATGATAACCGAAAAAAGAAAACTAAGACGCAAGTGGCATCAGTCTAGAGCACCAGTTAATAAAACTAGATTAAATAATGCCACACAAAAATTAAAAAGAGAAATACAAAAAATTAAAAACGAATCGGTTAACATTTACCTAAGTGAACTATCAAATGATAGCGCTACTGATTACTCTTTGTGAAAGGCTACTAAACGATTAAAAAGGCCAATCTTACAGTATCCACCAATTAGAAATACTAATGGTAGCTGGGCAAGAAGCAATATAAAAAAGGCCAACAGGTGTGCTGACCACCTAGAAAATACTTTTCAACCAAATGAAGAACAAGAAAGAATAAACTGGGAGCTCCCTGATCAAGACGAAATGGAGATTAGCCTTGTAGCTCCAAAAGAAGTATATTTGGAAATAAAAGAAAATATAAATCCAAAGAAAGCTCCTGGATTTGATCTAATTACTGGGGAAGTGTTAAAGCAACTTCCAAGGAAAGCTATTATAAAATTAACACATCTTATAAACGCTTCCTTTAGGTTGAGGTACGTACCAAAAATATGGAAGGTGGCAGAAATTATAATGACACTAAAACCAGGAAAACCTCCACAAGAAGCTTCTTCATATAGGCCTATTTCACTGTTACCTGTCATGTCTAAATTATACGAAAAATTACTCTTGAAGAGACTAAAACCGATTATAGAGGAAAAAAATTTAATTCCTAATTATCAGTTTGGGTTTAGAGCAAGCCACTCAACGATAGATCAGGTGCACAGATATCATAGAAAAAGCTCTAGAAGAAGGAAAAGTTTGTTCCGCAATTTTCCTCGATGTAGCGCAGGCTTTTGACAAGGTGTGGCATGATGGACTATATCATAAAATGAGATGCTACTTACCAAAACAATATTCTGAACTACTAGAATCATATATATCAGACAGATACTTTCGAGTTAAATATGAGGAAGCATATTCAGAATTAAGAGAAGTTAAAGCTGGAGTTCCACAAGGAAGTGTCCTGGGGCCAGTGCTATACCTGCTCTATACCAGCGATATTCCATCATTAGAACCTAACACAATTGCGACATTTGCAGACGACACATGCATACTAGCAGTCGGACAAAACCACGAATGTGCAGCTACCATGTTACAGAACTCTGTTGAACAAATTAACATCTGGACCAACCGATGGCGTATCAAATTGAATGAAACAAAATCTGTTCATGTCAATTTTACCAACAAAAGAGAACAACATATCCCAGTACATATAAATAGAAACCAAATACCTTAGACAAATACGGCAAAATATTTGGGTATGACGTTAGATTCCAAGCTACGTTGGAAAGCACATGTTAAGTGCTTTCCAAGAATACAGCTATGGGGCTGTACAAAAGAAAGCAACATCCAACATATACAACGATATTAGAATAAAGTATTAAGGAACATCGTTAACGCTCCATGGTACTTTAGAAACTGTGATCTTCATCGAGATCTCCAGATGGATACAGTTATCCAGACAATAAGTAAGTTTGCCGAGAGTCATGAACAGAGGCTCTCCAACCACGTGAACGTCGAGGCCATCAAACTCCTAGACAACGCCAACCAGATAAGAAGACTAAAGAGAACGAAGCCGTTTGATTTAGTGCTATAAGTAAGTGAAAGTGAAAAAGCAGAGTAAAGTGCGGCTAAAGTGTACACGTTAGCTAGTAGTACTATAATGTATTAGAGCCTAAGGAATATTGCTGAATATAACCTTAGATAAGTTTCTTGTAATATTTATATATAGAACTAACTTGCTTATTGATCATAGTGAATGATCAGATAGCAATAGTCATAAGATTCCTGTTGGAGTTTTATTAAACAAAAAAAAAACAAAAATTTTTTTTTAACAAAAAAATTATTTCCAAATGTGTTTGTATCCTTTTGGTCATTTGAACTTCTTAGTTTCTTCAGATAGAGCTACGTTTTTACATATCTAGTCTTCTTGATGTTGTTTAAACGTTTTGTCATTTGAGTTAAGTACTTGGAGAAACGAACATCATTCGCTAATGGACTCACACAAGCAACCAATTTATTATTATAACTTACGTATTTGAACACCTTTAGTTAGTTTATTTGGGAACTACAACTGATCCAGTTTTTTTTATTTCTCGCCTATTTGGAAACAATTAAACGTTAATAAACGTTAGCCCTTACCAAAAAATCTGCTTAAAAATTAGAAACAAC